CAGGATGCCCTCTCTGGCTTACCTGACTTAGCCAATATCCCCTTTGCCTCCCTTTCTAGCCCCATGCGTATCCCAGATGCAATTTTAGATCACACAACTGGTTGGTGACTGTCAACTCCCGTAGGCTAGGAGGGAGAAGAAGGAAAGACCCAGGTCCACTTTTCCTCAGCACTGCCCCCTCCACACCCGGCCTGGGCTGTCATGCCAACTGATCCAGATGACAGCTACTATTGGGGAACCCTGTTCTCAATTCTTTATGGGAATGAACTCATTTATTTCCCACAGCGTCCCCACAGGGCTGGGCACTGCTGTCACTCCATTCCAAAGATGAGGACACCGAGGCCCCAGAAGAGATGTCAGCTGCCCAAAGTCACACAGCTGTTAAACTGCAAAGTCCAGATTCCAGTGTCTGTGGGTCACGGTCTCCAACTGCTGGAATCACCTGGCAGGCGCTCACGTCAGATTTGCTGAATGAGAGCATGAGTGGAAGTCACCGCTCCTCTTCTCTTACCCCATCCACAGCCAGACTTCCTTCCTATGTGCCCCAGACTTTGCTGGTCCTGTCACCCCTTGCAGAAAGGAACAGTCTCATAATCCTCCCCCAGAGTCCTTCACCAGGGACCAGCTCACAGTCTGCAGCTGTCCAGGGCTGTGGCCTCTGTCCCCAGACCCAACTCTTTTTTTGCGGCAAGGGGTACCAGGGGTTGAACTCAGGGGCACTCCACCAGAGAGCCACATCCTCAGCTCTATTTTGCATTTTATTTAGAGACAGGGTCTCACTGAGTTGCTTAGCGCCTTGCTTTTGCTAAGGCTGGCTTTGAACTTAAGATCCTCCTGCCTCAGCCTCCCAAGCGGCTAGGATTATAGGCAAGCGCCACTGCAATGGGTTACTTTATTTTTAAGACCAGGATCATCCAGGTTCTGAGCTGCTTGAGACGCTCCTTCAGGGAACAGCAGGGTTAAAGAGCTTTTGCAAAGCCCCCAGGCGGAGGTGGAGGTGGGGTGAATGGGGGCTGAGCCTGCCTGCCTCACGCTGGGCGAGCATAAGGGATGGCTGTGTTTTGGAAGAAGAAAGGACTGTATGCTCCCAGTTCTAAACAAACAGAGAGGGGCCAAGGCCCAGATGGGAGTCTGGCCAGCCACTGGAGTTATCTGCTTCTCCAGATATGTTCTAAGGAAAAAGGCTGCCCACAGAAAGGTCACGCTTCATGCCAGATTAAACACAACAGGCTGAGTAACAGTCACTGTCTATGGAAGGAAAAAAAAGAAAAAACGTCCATTATCCTGAAGCCTCAGTCAGAGGAAGGACGGAGGAGTTTGGCCTAAGCTTCTGGGGCACATACGGTTACTCACATTTTTGTGGTGTTGGGGATTAGAACCCAGGGCCTTATGTGTGCAAGGCAAGCACTCTACCAACTGTGCTATATCCTAGCCCCCCCTCCCAATTTTTTTAAAGATATTTCTTCAATTCTCTGCTTCTCATGTTCTTGTAGAGCTTGTTTAGGAGAAAGAGGAGCCTTTAGGAATATATATGTTGTAGATGGACACAATACCTTTATTTTATTTATATATTTTTACATGGTGCTGAGGATCGAACCCAGTGCCTCACACATGCTAGGTGAGCCCTTTACCACTGAGCTCCAGCCCCAGCCCTGCAGGACTATTTTAAATTCAAAATGAAAAACTGCACAGCTCTGGACACTGGGAGAATTCTGTAGCTAAAATCATGAGCAACATCTTTGGAAAGAGAAGGAATTAACAATGGAGAGAATCAGGTAGCCAGTACAGAAAGTCAGGTATGTCAAAGACTGGAGCAATAAAATTGAATGCATTTATGATTTAATTCCCACCAAGTCCCTTCAAAGGAAGCGTCATTAGTCACCAAATTGCAGGCACGAGGAAACAGGAGTCCTAGAGAACTTGGGCGACCTGTTTAAGGCCACACTATTCCCTATTGACAAAGGTAGAATGAACCTAGGGAGTGGCTCCAGGACTCACTTGAGAATGTCCCCAGAGACTGAAGATGGGATTAATATTGTGCCCACCCATCAGCTCAATTATGTCATGTGTGAGGTCCAAAAGGGCTGCCATTAACCCCCGGGGGCTCATTAAACTAATGACAATTAAGTGAAATTCGAATTTCAGCCCTTTGCTATTGAACACCTGAAATGTTGCTAGTATAATTGATGGCCTAAAACGTTCATTTCACTTGATTTTAATTTCAGTAGCCTCATGTTGCTAGTGGATCCCTACCTTGAAGTTAAGAATATTTTTTCTTTCTTTCTTTCTTTTTTCTTTTTTTTTTTTTTTTTTGGCCCTTGGGATTGAACGCAGGGAGCTACACCCTCCTACACCCTCAGTCCCTTTTATTTTGACCCAGGGTCTCATTAAGTTGTTGAGGCTGTCCTCCAACTTGTGATCCTCCTGCCTTGGCCTCCCAAGTAGCTGGGATTACAGATGTGCACCACCACGCCTGACTTGTATCCTCAAGTTTTTTTCAGACATGATTCAGGGTTGTCCCAAAAATCTGAGGTGAAGAGGGGCTTTAGTTACTTTGCCCAAGCATCCACAGAAAATCATGAGGATAAGTAGTTCGTGATCTCAAGAGCTCAGAAGGACAGCCTGGACATTCTTTCTCACTTGGGTTTTCCAAGATTTCCCAACCTTGAACTCTCCTGGTTTCCTTCCTCACGAAGCCCAATGTGAGGCAATACCAGACAGACCTAGGCACAGCGGTCCTCAGAGGAGGGTGCACATTGGCACCAGCAGGGAGCTGGTTTGAATGCAGATTCCGGAGCCCACCTCTGAGTCCTGCTGCAGGGGCTCTCTGGGAGGCCAGGGAGGCCACGTTTTCACCCAGCAGCCTGATGGTTCTAACGCAGGTGGTTGAGCTCCGAGAAACTCAGACACTCTGCTTCAGAGCTGAAGGACATATTTATCTGCTGGCCTCTTAAATAATTATAGCACATAAATCTTTCGAGAATAACACAGGCGGGCTGGAAGCCAGGCAGTTATCACTCTGCATTGATGGCTGGCCTCTACGATGTCAGGGAGACCTGCCACCAGGGCCTCTTTTTTTTTTAATCTGAAACACAAGGGTAAAGAGATTTACTCTGTGTGTGTGTGTGTGTGTGTGTGTGTGTGTGTGTTTTGGTGCTGGGGATTGAACCCAGGGGCACTCAACCACTGAGCCCCTCCCTAGCCCTTTTTCTATTTTATTTGGAGACAGGGTCTCACTGAGTTGCTTAGGGCCTCGCTAAGTTGCTGAGGCTGGCTTTGAACTCGAGATCCTCCTGCCTCAGCCTCCTGAGCTGCTGGGATTACAAGTGTGTGCCACCGCACCTGGCGGATATCTGCTTTTTATCTTTGGGGACAGATGGGAACACAGATGTGAAAGCATCTGAGGGGAGATAAAAGGTAAACACACTGTATAGACATCCTATGACTCAGAAATAGGTTCTGTCTAGCAGAAGGTTTAAGTAGGTTACACATTTTTAAAAAATCCATGTTTTTAACCATGCTTAGAAAAACTGGAAGATCTGAGAAGATGTGGCTCATGTTAGGTTAGTGGCCTGAGGTGGCTAAGAGCTGGGCTCTCGAGTCTTATGTGCAGCCTTATCCGCTCCAGTACTGAAAAGCTGGGTGACTGGGCAAACCCCTTGACCTCTCTGTTTTTCAGTTTCTTCAACTTCAAAATGAGAATTGTAACACACTCCCCTTATAATGTAGTAACAATTTAATAAAAGGAACTAATATTTCTAGTGTGCCTAGAGTAATATTAGGCATGTAGTAAGAGTGATGTACATGTTCGCTAAATAAAAAAGATTCCTGCACTTGGAAACCGGCAGCAGGTGGAGCTAAGCAGTCACTATCCCCTTCAGATGCGGTTGACACACAAACTATCGCAATCACAGGCCGACACCTTTGCCTATGGGGTCCCTAGTGTAAGAAGTCCATGTGTGGCCCTGGTTCCCCACCCTTAAAGGGACAGACAGACTTAGTGCATCTTAGAACAGTTCCTGTCAAACTTTCGTGATGAGGGACCGGTTGGTTTTATTTTCCATCCACTGTGGACCAGTGCATGGCCCTGCCCATGGCAGATACACCGCCCTCCCCACCTGTGACTGGTGGTCTACTGCCTGCTGGAGAGGATGAGCCCTTGACCGTGAACTTGACTATGGCAGCAGTGGCGAGCTGAGCCTACTGTACAGCGATCGCTCCCATCTCACCCAACATCTAATCCGCAAGCCTGCTGGACGACCGTGCTGTGGGCAGCATGCAGGAGGGCCTCTCCCTCTCTCCACTTGGGCCATTCCCGCCCCCCAGCCTTTCCTCGTCTCTCTCTGAACACTGCTGCGTCTTTATCTGCAGTGGGACTCACGACAGCCTCAGCCTCTGTGCTGCGAGCCTTGAGGTCCCAAGCACCCCCAGGTTGGGACACTGGGTATTGCATACACTGCCATTGGCTTCCAGCAGCCCCTTCTCCTGAAATTCGTCTTTGGCCAGTGGGAGGTGCCTCGCCCAGGCCACGCCCATGGCCTTGCCTAAACCACGCCCATGGTCTCACCCAGGCCACGCCCACGGCCTCACCTAAACCTCGCCCACAGCCTCACCCAGGCCACACCCATGGCCTCACCTAAGCCACGCCCATGGCCTCGTCTCCCATCCACTCCCCAGCAGCCCAAAGCCAAGGACCAACGGGCAGGGTGGCCCGAGATGTCAGCGCCTGAAATGACTCTCTGGTCCCTTTCACCCTGCAGAGGAGGTGTCCACACTCACTCGGCTCCTCGTCTGGTCCTGTCCTGTTCCTAGAGTCCCTCCATCATCAGGCCACCTACAGGGAACCTCAGTAAGGACAGAAGCCACCTGGAACCCGGGCTGATGATCCTTGGGGCAGCAGGCAGGTGGCGGGAAAGACCCTGAGATCCCGAGGACCAGCGCCCAGCCACCCAGCGCTCAGCCCCCAGCGCTCCCCCGCTGTTTCGAGGCCGGGAACCTACCTGTGGCGTTGGACAGGGCTAGGGACTCCATGGAGCCGCGGGGGGTCTGCTCGGTGGGCGTCATGTCCTCCGTGTACTTCAGGGAGCTGATGGGATGGCGGGGCCGACACTGCTGCGCCGACAGGCCGCCGCCGCCCTCCTCCTCCTCCTCCTCCTCTTCCTCCTCCTCGTACTTGGGGACTTGGATGCTGCCTCGGGGCTCACTGAAGCTTTGACTGGACATGTCACTGTAGCTCTCCTGGGACCTGAGCCTCCCTGGGTAATAGTCCTCCCGGCAGTCCTTGATGAAGCTGCCGCCGTGTCCCTTCATGGCCATGGACGAGCTCCTCTTGGGGTTGTTGAAGTGCTTGGGCCACATGTCGGGCTGGGCGCCGGCCGCCTGTCCCCCCGGACTGTAGGAAGTCCTGATGTTGCACTGGCTCAGCAGCTGCAAGGGGCTCTGGGCCTGGTTCTGCTCCATCTTGTTCCCGTAATGGTAGGGCTCATCTCGGCTCCTCCAAATGGGGTCCCGGTTGAGGCTGGGCGTCTGGCTGGACAGGCTGAGCAGGTCCATCTGCAGCGACAGGGGGTCCACGTCGGCCGACAGCCGGTTGGAGCTCACCTGCAGCTGGCTGTGCTGGTTCAGCATGGCCTCCTCCGTCTTGCCCTTATTCTTGCCGATCTTGGCGCTGCGCCGGGACTCCTTGGCTCGGGCGTTCTGGAAGGCGGAATCCGACGAGTCGGAGCCGTTGGGGTCCTCCCCGGCGCTGCAGGCCCTGGAGCAGAAGATCTGGCCCTGCTTCGGGAGGAATGGCCGCCCCAGGAGGGACTTCTTGCAGTGAGCACAGCAGAAACAGGTCTCGGTGGCGTGCCAGTGCTGCCCGTCGTAGGTCATCTGACCTTGGTCGATCCCTGCAGAAGTAAGAGACAGGGAGGAGGCTGAGCGGCTTTGAGCATCGCATCACCACAGGATAAAGGTCCCTGGGCTGCCTCAGGATACAGAAGAATAATGTAGCAAAAAACAGCCGGCACGATGGCACAGACCTGTCATCCCAGCAGCTCGGGAGGCTGAGGCAAGAGGATAGCAAGTTCAAAGCCAGCCTCAGCAAAAGTGAGGTGCTAAGCAACTCAGTGAGACCCTGTCTCTAAATAAATACAAAATAGGGCTGGGGTTGTGGCTCAGTGGTTGAGTGCCCCTGAGTTCAATCACTGGTACTAGGGGAGGGGGGTGGAAATCAATGACCAGTCCCCATATTCTCTTAGAGTTTATCCTACTAGCTTCTCCTAACTTGTTTGCTCCCAACACAGAGACTCTAGATTAAGTGTTCCTGAATCCAATTCCCTGTACCAAAAAGAAAAAAAAAAAAAGCCCATCCATGCATTCTTCCTGGGATACATTTTCCCCAAACAAACAGTAATACAGGTTGCACATCTCTAATCCCCAAATCCAAAATCCAAACGCTCTAAAGCCAAAGCCTGAGACTTCCTGAGTGTCAACTTGGCACCACCATGGGCAGAAAACTCCATATAATGAAACTTGGCTTTGTGCACAAATAATTAAAAATAATATATAAAGTTATCTTCAGGCTACGTGTGTAAGGTGTATAGGAAACCCAAGTGAATTCTGTGGTTAGAATTGGGTCCCATCCCCCAAAGAATCTCATTATATATATGAACATTCCAAACTCTGAAAAATCTAAACTCTGAAACACTTCTGGGATCAAGAATTTCAGAGAAGGGGTCCTCACTCAACCTGTAAAAATACTAATATGAAAAAGCAATGATTTAGGCATTTTGCTTTAGGCATTTTGTACGAATGTGTGTGTGTGTGTGTGTGTGTGTGTGTGTGCAAACTCATTTAATCATTAACTGTTTGGTAATTGTTTGATGTAGGTTTATAGTATTATTTATTATTATTATCATCATCATCATCATCATCAATATCATCATCATCATTTTGGTACTAGGGATTGAACCCAGGCATGCTCTACCTCTAAACTACACCCCCAGTCTTTTTTATTTCTATTTTGAGTTAGAGTCTAAGTTGTTGAGGGTCTCACTAAGCTGCAGAAGCTGGTCTCTAACTTGTGATCCTCCTGCATTGGCCTCCTGAGTTTCTGAGTATTACAGGCATGCACTGCTGTGCTGAGCAGATTTGTGTTACTTATCCCATTTTTCAGATGAGGAAAACAAAGGCACAGATGCCTAAAGTAATATAATGGAATCAGAGATGAGCTGTACCCAGAAGTCTTACTCCTAACCATGATAGGAATCCTGTTCCCTTCACTCAACTTAGGTGTCAGTTCAAATGCCAACTCCTTGGAGAGGTCTATGTGCCCGCCACAATAGCAGCTCTCCTCACTCTCCACCCTTCCCTGATGTCTTTTTCCTCATAGCATTAATACTGCCAGATGCATTATTGTAGGTCCGCATTGGTTTATTATTTCTCTTTGTCCCTAAAAGTGATGCTTTATGGAGACAGGGTCATTAAGTTTCCTGTGGTATCTCCAGGACTCAGAACATGGCCTGGTGCATGATAGGGTTCCTCCCATATTAAACGAATGGATGAACTGAACCCCATAACCAGTGTAAGTCATCCCAATGAGTAAGCCACAGGAGTAGCTATGGTCTAAATGTACATCTCCCCTCCAAATTCCTACGTTGAAACCCTAACCCCCCAGGGGACTAGATTAGGAGGACTTTTGAGAGGGAATTAGGTCAGGAGAGTTCTGCCCTCATGAATGGGATTAGCGCCCTTATAAAAGAGGCCCAAAGGGATCTGCCTGTCTCTCCTGCTCTGTGAGGACACAGCAAGAAGGCATCATCTAAGAACCAGAAATGGGCCCCTACCAGACACCAAATTTGCCAGTGCATTGACCTCAGACTTTCCCATCTCCAGAAACCTGAGAAATACACGTCTGTTGTATTACTTTGGAGGATGGGTGCTGAGGATTTGAACCATGTCCTATCTTACACTATTTCAGCACACCAAAGAGACCGAGGCAGTGTGTCATGGTTTGGATATGCAATGTCCCCCCCAAAGCTTATGTTAGGCAATGCAGGAATGTTCAGAGGTGAAATGATTAGGTCAGCCATGAATTAGCTGTGAATCCACTAATCAGTGGATTAATCCACTTGCTGGGTTAATTTGAAAGGACAACTGTATTGGGCAGTAACTTGGGTAGGTGGGTGTGACTGGAGGAAATGGGTCACCGGGGGCCTGTTTGGGGGATTGTATCTTGTTCCCTTGGCTCCATACTACCCCTCTCTGGCCATGTCCTGAACTGCTTCCCTTCACCACGCCCTTCCACCATGATGTTCTGCCACACTTGGGCCCACTGCAATAGATGTAGCCAACCATGAACTGAACCTCTGAAACTGTGAGCCCAAATAAATCTTTCTTCCTTTATGTTTTGCTTGTCGGCTATTTTGGTCAGTGACAAAATGCTGACTAATGAACAGTGGAATAGAAAAAAACTGTGGACTTTAATTCTTGGTAAGAAACATGCTGCTCCAGGTAAGGAAAACGTTGGGCCCAGTTTGTGAAAGACATGATCCTCCATGGGCATGCACACCCGTCCCTTAAGAACACCAGGAAAGGGAGAAGGAGCTGCCCTGCGGGTGGGAGTCGGCCTGGTTTATACATTCTGAGCACTGGAGAGCTTCTCTCAGCCCCGAAGGTCCTTCCTCTCACCAGCTCTCCTGCCTCTTCTGGTGTGCAACTTAATCTCCCTGCCATTCTCATGCCATGATCTTGGGGTGGGGCTAAAGCCACTGTAGGACCCAACCCTGGCCAGTAACAACCTGTCTGTCCCTATCTCCGAGCCCCAGGGGCAGGCTGGGATCAGGCACATGACCTGCACTAGGCCAGTGGGCTTTGGAGTTACATAGTACAGTGTTTTTATTTACTTCTTTTTTTGCAGCAGCTGATGAACTGGCAGAATGGCAGCTGGAGATGTTGGATTATGTCAGTGCACAATGACAAGCCTCCCCAGGAAGGCAGAGTCCACGGGGTCCATCTCCAGTGGCCACACCTCCTGAGCCTGGCCTTTGAAGGGATGACTTCTAGAGACTTGCCTAGAGAGGCAGTGACAAGAAACTGGGGGGAAACAGGCAGGAGAAGTGGTGCCTGCAAAGCAGCCTCTTCCCTCCGGGTCACCCCAAGTGACAGGCCCACTGTGAAACCAAATCCATCCCCATAAGCACCAGGTTCCCAGGGGAAATGAGCTGAGGAGTTGGCTCTGAGGCTCCACCCACACGTCCTCAGCTCTGCGGCTCCGCCCACACTTCTTCTATTCTGTGACTCCACCCACACTTCCTCAGTTCTGTGGCTCCACCCACACTTCCTCAGCTCTGCGGCTCCGCCCACACTTCCTCAGGGCCAAGACTCCGCCCCCACTTCCTCAGGGCCGAGGCTCCGCCCACACTTCCTCAGGGCTGAGGCTCCGCCCACACTTCCTCAGTGCTGCGGCTCCACCCACACTTCCTCAGGGCCGAGGCCCCGCCCACACATCCTCAGAGCCGAAGCTCCACCCACAAGTCCTTAGCTCTGCGGCTCCACCCACACTTCCTCAGCTCTGCAGCTCCGCCCACACACTTCCTCAGCTCTGCAGCTCCACCCACACTTCCTCAGAGCCGAAGCTCCACCCACAAGTCCTTAGCTCTGTGGCTCCACCCACACTTCCTCACAAAGGCGGGTTCAAATCCCCAGTTCCACCCCATTCCAGTGGCTTCTCAAGCTGCCCAGCCCATCTGCTTGGGTTCAGATTTGAGCTCTCATTCTTTCCAGCTGTATGACCCTAGGCAAGTGGCTTCAGTCTCTGTGCCTGGGTCTCCTCAACGGTACAACGGGGACGATTGCAGTTCTTACTTTGGAGGATGGGTGCTGAGGATTTGAACCACGTCCACAGACCTGGACCTGTTACCTGTTCTTTTTAATTAATTAATTAAGTTCACAGTAGAGCGCATTTTGACATAGTACACACACGGAGCCAGACTTGTCATTGCTCTGGCTGTGCGTGGTGCAGTCCCTCCAGCAGTGTAGCCCTACGCGTCCACAGGGTAACAAGGCCTGTCTCTTACCGTCCTTCCCCACACCCCACCCCTCCTTCCCTCTACACAAACCACAGCTCCTTCATTCTTCCCATCCCCCAGCCCCACTGTGGATCAGCATCCGCTTATCAGAGAAAACATGCGGCTTTTGGCTTTGGGGGACTGGCTTATTTCACCTAGATGTCACCTTATTCTAACTGTTCTTTTCTTTTTATTAGGAGTGAAAGCCTGGCTCCCTCTTCGCCAAGCCAAGGGCCACTGCCTCCTGAAGCGCAAGAACAAACCCTGAGGTCACGTGGTCGCCTTCCCTCTCCTCCTTTTCCCTTCCCCTCGCTGAGCCAAGGGTCCCAAGGGCTCATGCTGACAACCCCCACTGCCCTGAGCCCTTGGCTGTGAGCAGCTCCTCAGTCGGGGACACCCTTGGGGGTGTGGCCCCACCCACGCCCTGCCAGAGGTGCGGGGAAGCGCAGGGCAGGTCTCCTGGGCTCCACCGACTGTTCTCTTAGAAATCAGCAGGGGCATCTCTGAGATGCAGCAGCAGGGGCCTGGGAGAAGGATGGGCTCTGGTGGACCAGCTGTCAGAAGCAGCCTGGGAGGCAGCGCACGGAGACTGGTAAACCGCAGCACCGTCAGCGCGCCCTCTGCACAGCCCCTGAACTCCAGACAGCTGGAAAAGGGCTCTGCGTTCGTCTGGGCGCTCCTTTTTTTATTCCCTCTCTAAGCCCTTCAAACACTTCTCAGAGGGCGGACGTGTCTAGGCTGCCGCAACCCGGGTCTGTTTATAGGACTGTTTACTCTGCTGTGCGCAGGCAGGAGTACTGTTGCCCTGGCAACGGCTGCCTGAAGCAGGGTCTGCTCGGAGCGGCTGGATAAATATGGAATATTTGTACAAGTATGGTCAGAGGTACAGCACTGGAGACCGAGGTATGCATGATACACAGCACAAGGAGGCTTTGCAGGAAAGTGCATTTGAAAAGGAACACCAGGGAGAGCCATTTAGCGACAGCAGCAAGCGCACCGCAGGCCACAGCGGTCCCCTTTTTCTGGTCAAATATGGATGCTTTTATGGATTTGAGAGGAAGGGAAAAAAGAAAAGACCAGCAAAAGCCCTGAACTGCTGATAGACGAAGAGGCAGACATGACCAAGTGGCAAAGCCATCTTCTCTCCCCTGATCATGACCCGGAGCTACAGGGTGGAAATCCTAAGTGGCAGCTTCAGGCTTGGAGCCTCCATGGAAAGGGAGGGGAGATGGAGATCCTAATGGGAGGTGCTGCTGCTGTGGATTGGTTCTCTGTCGCTCAGCCCCTCTCCTTTGAGACTGGAGAGTTCCTGGGTATATGATGAGCTGTCAGGCTATGAGGGGAGACTGAGGGGTTTAGGACACAGGGCACTTGCATCACCCAAGTCCCCCAAAGGCAAAGCAGCCAGATGATGGTCTCCCAGCAGTGCCGATCCCCGGGTTGATACCCTGCAGCAGGGCAGGCCTCAGGGGACCAGGGCAGGGTCTGTGGGAAAGGGCTGGCCACCCACGCATGCCCACTGAGCATGCAGCAGCCACCCTGTGCACAAAGTGGGTGCTTCTGTCTGCACAGGAATCTCCCCAAACACTAGCTAAATTTTCATATGACTGCATTATTATGATGAACCAGGACACAAACCACTTCTTTTTCAGTCCTAATAAAGCCTGTTAAGAGGGTCAAAATGGGCTCACAAATACATCATCTCCCCATCTCTCTGTAGGTAAGTTCCCCGCAGCTCCTGAACAGACCGGGGCTGCTGCATAAGCCTCAGGAAGATCAGGCTGTGGCCTCACCCACAGTCATCCATGGCCAATTTGTTTTTTGCTCCTCCAAAGGGTAGCTCCTTCCCAAGTTTCCAGAAAAGGCAAACTGAAAGAAGCAGCCACATGCAGCCTGAACTGGAACAGGGCTGAACAAATCGGTTATTTTGCAAAGGGAAAATGCTTCCCACCATGTCGGTGGACCTGACTGCAGGTTGGGGGTTTACAGTTGATGAGCCATGTGAGTTCTCACTGCTGACTTTTGAAAGAAGACATACTTGCCAAGAGCCATTGGCTTCCTCGACTCTCCTTCCCTACCTCACTAAATTGCTGAGACTGGCTTTGAATTCTCAATCCACGTTGGTTCCTCCCTCTGCTGATTCCCGAGGAGGATAAGGAAGACATCTGTTTATCTTTCCTCCTGAGGCTTCTCCCTTTCCTCTGGTACTGAGGCTTGAAGCACATGGACCCACCTCAGAGGTGGACCTATGGCCAAGTCAGGACCTAACGATGCTTATTATTATTATTATTATTGAATCCAGCGCTTGGATAAGTGTTCTACGACTGAGCTACATCTCCAGAACCTTCTTTCCTTTTTATAGATGTCAGATCTTATGATTTTTTTTTTTTTCGGTACTAGGGGCTGAATCCATAAGGGCTCTACCACTGAGCTACACCTACACAGGGTCTAAGATGCCCAGGCCGGCCTCAAACTTAAGATCCTCCTGCCTCAGATTCCTGACTCACTGGAATTACAGGTGCATACCCCTGCACCTGGCATAGAAAAGAATATCTGGAGGAACTGACTTAAAACTCGAAGATACACAGTCCCTATGATGTGAAAATGGCTTATTCTCAAGTGATCCCAACAGAGATCAAGCACTTGAGACATAGAGGAAAAAAAAAAAAGACATTGTTTGAACCCTTGATCTATCCTTACCTGAAGCTAAACTATTCCTTTTTTTTTTTTCAATGCTAGGGATTGAACCCACTGAGCCATATCCCCAGCTCTTTTTTTGTATTAATTTAGAGACAGGTTGTCACTGAGTTGCTTTGGGCCTCACTAAGTTGCTGAGGCTGGCTCTGAACTCTTGATCCTCCTGCCTCAGCCTCCCCAGCCACTGGGATTCCAGGTGTGCACCACCATGCCTGACTACTCCTTGGCTTTTTTAGTAACATGAACCAAGAAATTTCCTTTTCCACTTAAGCTAGTGCACGCTGGGCTTCTATTATCAGCAACCTAAGGGATTCTGAATATGACAGACACAGAGGAGGTCCCACCCAGAAGTGAGTGCCAAGCACCGCCTTACCTATATGTTGGGCACAGGTGTCACAATATTCCGCATACAAGGACTCGAAGCAGTGGCAACAGTAGGGCCTCCCCTCCTTCATGATGTAGCGCTGGCCGCCCAGCACCGTCTCGCACTCGAAGCAGCAAAAGTGTTTCATGTGCCAGTGCCGCCCCTCTGCTTCCGTGCATTCATCTGCAAAGATGATCTGGAGATGGGGAAGCCAAATGGTCAGCGTTTGAGACCCGGCCATAAGAGCACACTTGGTTTCTTGTATGAGGGATTGAACCCAGAGGTGCTTAACCACTGAGCCACATCCCTGACCCCTTTTATGTATTTTATTTAGAGACAGGGTCTCACTAAGTTGCTGAGGCTGGCTTTGAACTTATGATCCTCCCACCTCGGCCTCCCAAGCACACTTCTAAGCAGGAAAGTTACAGGGGCCCTAAACTGGAAGGGCAAGGAAGCAGGTCTCACCCATAAATCATTAAACAAAACCAGTCTATGTGTGTGTGTTCTGTGTCTGTATCAGTTCCTACATTTGGGTTTGCCTGAAGCACAGTTAAATATGGTGCCTGGCCTGACCGGTGATTAACTTAGCCACATTTAAATAAGAGAGAGAATGTTTTACCCTGAAGAATATAAAGAAGAATGAAAAACAGCTCTTGGGCACACTGGACATACGTATGTTTCATTTAGCTGCTACACAGTATGTTTAGGAATGGAAAATATCATGCAAACACCTGGAATCCTGGTTTGTCCTCTGAAACCTAATACTGACCGAGGCTCACTATCCATTCCTGCACGGTGGTAAAAGGTGGAACTAGGCAGCGAGAGTGCTGCTTTCAGAGGAGAGGCATGTTGTCCAGTTTGTCACAGTCCTCACTACTCCCTAGTGCCTTAAGATGGGGCAGTAGCTTCATTTACGACACCTACCCAGCCCGCTAAAGCAGTTGTGTTTTGTGTACTGATGGACAACTACGCTACATTTCAAAGCACTCTTATGAAAACTTAACACCAAGCTACAGTCACCAAGCCAGCATGATACCGACCTTAGGATGGACGTGGGACTAAATAGAAGAGAGTCCAGGAATAATCAGTCAATGGCCCACAGATTGTCAAAAAGGGTGCCAAGAGCATTCCACGGGGAAAGAATGGTCTCTTCCATAAATGGGGCTGGGACCACTAGGAAAGAATCGATTCAAATCCTTACCTCAAACCACACGTGCAAGGGATCAAAGACCTAACCCTAAGAGCAAAAACTGACAAGGGATCAAAGACCTAACCATAAGAGCAAGAACTGATAAAACACGTAGAAGAAAACACAGGTGTAAATGTTTTTGCCCTTGGGCAAGGCAATGATTTTTTAGATATGACACTAAACATATAAATAAAAAAAGAAAAAAGCAGATAAAGTGGACCCCATCAAAATGCAAAACTTTTATGCTCCAAAGGACATCATCAAGAAAAGGAAAAGTACAACAAATAATAATAAATGCTAGAAAGGATGTGGAAAAAGGAACACTTTTACACTATTGGTGGGACTGTAAATTGGTATGATCGCTATGGAAATCAGCATGGCAGTTTCACAAAAGACTAGGCATGGAACCACCATACGACCCAGCTATACCACTTCTAAGTATTTATCTTGAAGAATTAAAGTCATCTTACTACAATGACACATGCATACCCGTGTTTACAGCAGCACCATTCACAATAGCCAAACTATGGACCTAGGCTAGGTGTCTACCAATGGAAGAATGGATAAAGAAAATGTGGTGTATATACACAGTGGAATATTACTCAGCCTTAAAGAAGAATGAAATTAGGGCAATTTGCAGGAAAATGGGTGGAACTAGAGATCATCATGTTAAGCAAAATAAGTCAAACTCAGAAGGCTAAGGGCTGTATGTTTTCTCTCATATGTGGGAGCTAAAGCGGAAAAAGGAAATGAAAGGTGAGGATGGATCTCCTAAAAATCAAAGGAAAGAGACCCAGGGGTGAGAGGCAGGGGAGGAGGGGGGATATGCTGGGGAGTAATACTAACCAAAATATATTATTATATTGTGTGCATGTACAAATATATAATCATAAATCCCACCAGTATGTACAACATAATGTACCAATAAAAATTGTAGGAAAAAAGAAAATGAAAATAACACCATAAAATTGGAGAACATATTTCAAAATTATATATTGCATAAAGGACTAGTACCCATATTATTAGAACTCAGTAAAGAAAAATAACATATTGGAAAAAAATGGCAAAGGATTTACACAGACATTTCTCCAAAAGAGAATATACAAATAGATGATAAGCATTACTAGTAACTCGACATTACTAGTAGTTGTGAAAACATGAATCAAAACCTCCATGGGATATCACTTCACAGATACTGGAGGACTATACCAAAAGACATGGATGAGACAAAAGCAGACATTAATGAGAATATGAAGAGACAGAATCCTCATTCATTGAGAGCAGGAATGCAAAATGGTGTAACTGTTTTTGAAAATAGCTTTGCATTTTCTCAAAAAGTCAAACTTAGGATTACCATATGACCCAGCAATGCCACTCCTAGATAGATACACATGCAAGAGGGTAAAATATACCTAGAATCTATTCACAAGCAACTTCGTTCATAATAGCTAAAAACAGAAACAATTTCAATGTTCATCAATTGCTTAAAGGTTAAGCAAAATACATATAACTCAGCCATGAAAAGGAATGAAATACTCGTATACACTCTGACATGGATTAACTTTGAAAACATCCTGCTAAGTGAAAGAATCCAGATGCTTTTATTTCATTAATAAGAAATGTCTAGAATATATAAATCCGGAGAGACAGAGAATTTAAGCAGTGGCTGTCAGGGCCTGGAAAGAGAAGAATGATTGCTAATAGAGACAGTCTTTTTGGTTGATGAAAATGATCTGGCATAAAACAGGAGTGATGATCTCACAACTCTTTGAATACACTAAAAACCACTGAGTTGTCTATTTTCAAAGGGTAACTTGAGCTATGCACATTATATCTCAATAAACACAAATTTCAAAGTACAATTCCTTCCATCATTGCATTCTCTTTGGCATTAGTGAACCCAAAGTTGCCTTAAGGGCATGGATTTCCAGATGTGGAAACTGAGGCAGGATGGTAAAGAGATGACATAGAATCGCAGAGCTGGATCTGAGTTCAGTTCCCCAGTGTATGCTCACAGAGTCTCTCTGGTGCATTGCTATTGGCATTAGAACCCAAATTATTATAATTATTTTTTGGTACCGTGGTGATTGAACCCAGGGGTGCTAAACCACTGAGCCACATCTCCAGCCCTATTTATTTTATTTTTTTTTATTTTGAGACAGGGTCTCGCTAAGTTGCTTAGGCCCTCACTAAGTTGCTGGGGCTGGCCTTCAACTTGTGGTCCTCCTGCCTCAGCCTCCTGAATTGCTGGGATTACAGGTGCCCTCCTGACATTGAGAATCCCTTTTAGGCCATTTTATAAGAGAAACACCCATGTGATTGTGGGTTCCAGCTGGAAAAGGGCAGTGTTCTCTCCCAGATTGCTTGCTTATAAGGTCAGGTGGACCCCAAAACACCTCTATGCAGAAGGAAGCCTGGGTCTAAGGCCTTACCCCACAGGATTCTCATAAAAGTGGTCAGGTTTGGACCGTTCCTCTCTCTGCTCCCAGTCTTTCATTCTTAATCAGGTCTTCTCTCCTGCAGCCCACATATCAAACATGAGCTTACTTCTGGCTCAGGGGAGGGATGGGCCAGGTAGGGGCCTTACGTTCTATTCTGACTTCTTACTTGTGTAACACATTTGGACACCGCCTAGAGTTAGGTGCCCTGGCAGAATAGCCATCTGCCCCCTGAATTTTCACTGAGAACTTGTTTAAACAATGGGTAAATCAAATAGCACTACCCAGTCTCTTCTTTTCTCTAATCAACCTGTCCCGTCAAATCTTGGGCAAGTGGCACCTCATATCATTCCCTAGGATTTAGGCTGAAATCTAAAGCTTCACAATGCTTTTTTTTTTTTTTTTTTTTTTAAGTTCTGAGCTGATCTAGTGCCAACCGTATCCCCTTGGGAATTTCCCTGGCCACACTCAGTAAATTGGGCCATAAACCCAGCCATGTAGCGACCTCATTTTTGCAGGGATTGGGGGTGTGGTTCCTGGAGATTGAACCCTGAGTCTATACCACTGAGTTATATCCCCAGACCTTTTCCTTTCTTTCTTAAGTTTTGAGACAGGATGTCGCCAAGCTGCCCAGGCTGGCCTGGAACTTGCCACCCTCCTGCCTCTACTTCCTGAATCACTGGGATTACAGTGGGCTGTCACCACACCCAGCGAAGGTTCTTGAAAGGGTTAAGGTTTGCCTATAGTTCTCTGCTGTACAGGAAGCTACAGAAGGAGGAGGCTGTGGCTGTGACGCAGCCCAGGGGGTGACAGGGAACAGGTGCGGGCTCTGACCTCATCGCAGGCTGCACAGCGTGGCTTCAGGCACTCGGCATGGTGCCGGCCGCAGTAGATCTTCCCGTCTTGGTAGAAGTAGATCAGATCCACCAGGAGCTCGTTGCAGACGGTGCAGATGAAGCATGGCGGGTGCCAGCAAACCCCGTGGCCGGCGCGCGAGGCGAACACGGCGATGTCCCCGCCATTAATCTGGCCTCCGCACTGTGAGCCAAAGAGACACATCAGCACCCAGACACCAGCCCCATCTCCTAGTGCTGTGCACAAATGACAAAAGGCCACCACCACCAGCTGGTGACCAGCCCCACTGTGTTCCTTCCTTTACGTTCCTTGGCGGGGCAGGTCTTGCGGGTCCTTCTCCTGCCCTTGCCTAGGGTCTCCATGAGATGACAATAAAGAGACCTGGAGAAGGAGGTCTCTTTATTGTCATTAGGAAGGGGGGACGGGAAGAAAAAAACCTCAGCATAACACCAGGCAAGGGGCCGTGCATATCTTCTAGAAATTCCAAGCTGCACTCAGAGGGTCACCTGCTCAACACCAGCAGGAGCAGGCTGGGGAGGAAGGAGGGCAGACGAGGGGCGTGGCCGAGGGCTGGGGCCTGCACCATTGGATGGAACAGGGAGTGGGCGGGCCTACCAGAGCCTACCGCTTTAACTACCTTTTCAAGGTATCATTCAAGTTTGCTTCTACTCTCTTCTGACATCCTTTTACATAGTCTTGATCGAAATGTACCACTTCCCCCCTCCCAGTACTGGGGTGATCTACCACTGAGCTACCTCCCCACCCCTTTTAATTTTGAGACAGAGTCTCCCTAAGTCACTGAGGCTGGCCTCAAACTGTGATCCTCTTGCCTCTGCCTCTGAAGTCGCTGGGATTACAGGTGTGCATCACCAGACTCAGTGGCCAAGTCCTACCCCTTTTTTTCTTTTTAAAATTCAGATCCCACCCTTTAAAGGGCACTGGTACTGGGAAGATCCTGGGAGAGGGGCTGGATCATGGTCCAGGCCATCTCCATTAGTAAATGCACACATTTCAAATATGAATCCCTCATGTCAGTCCTCTGCCAGGTACTTCCAGGGGCTCACATGACCCTCCACGAACTCTCACTTTATTTGCTAACTGTCTTCCTTCACCCGCTCTGCCCCAGCCACAAGCTGTTGTTTCTGGTGCCCCAACCCCTGCATGACTCCCTCCCTCTTGCAAGTCTTTGCCGAGATGCCTCCTTCTAAGTGGAGTCTTCTCTCCCATCTAAGCCTACAGCTTCTCTAGCCTCCCACTCCTTCCCGGTCCCCTTCTCTGACATATTTTTTGTTGTTTTTGGTTGAATGTATTGTCTTCTTTCTCCAGAGAGCGCTTCCTTACAAAGGCAACATTACGTTTTCATGTCTTATATACTACTGCATTCTCGAGTCTAGAAAAGTGCCAGGCGCACAGTAGGTACTCAACAAAAACAACTGTAAAATGAATGAATGGGCAGATGAAAAAATGAATGAATGAGTGGGTGAATGGATGGATGGATGAATGAATGAATAAACAGATGAATGAATGAATGAATAAACAGATGAATGAACAAATGAATGAATGGACAGTTGAATGAATGAACGAACAATTCCTCTTCCGACCCAGGAGTCCACACTCACCTGCTCACAAATGGCCCCTGTCATAGTGACAGGGAAGGGCCTGACATTCCCTCTGCCCAGGTTTTCACGTTTCCTCTGGTTGCTGAACAACTTAAGCTCCCTCTTCTCCTCCTCATCCAGGGAGTTGCAGTATCGAACCTGAGCACACACACAGAAGGCAGACGCCCCGTGAGAGTCCTGAAGCCCAGGCCCCAGAGTTTCCTGCTGCTGCTTGGTTTTCCAGTCCCTGCCTGGTCGACAGCAGTCTCGGGCTTGGAGCGACTTAAGATGAGCTGCTCCTAAGATCACCGACAACCCGAGGGGCTAACGGAGGGCTCTGAACTCCGGAGCCCAGGCCCCAGGCAGCCCATGGATTCTGCAAGTGCTTCTTTCTCCCTGACTTCCCTCACTCTGTGGACCACCCTCAGGCCCAAGTCACATGGACAGACGGAGCTGGCAAAGCTCTGGGATGTGTCTTTCCTCCCAATTGTAGGTACCTGATACTTTCTCCTGCAGCTACCTAGGTAAAGGGTCCTTGGCACCAAGAATGGTCCCAGGCCACTGAGCCAGGGCCACTGTCAATGTGCACATGGCTTCTGTCCCCATCTCACTTGGGAGAGTGGGAACGTGGAGGCTGGAGCCTGTGAAGCTGCAGCACAGGTGTGCTCAGGGTTGCAGGATGGGAAGGCTGGTTTGTCTGGGAGCAGGAGGAAAAGGGCCGCCTGCTGGGCTTCGGCTAAGTGTGACAATGTGCAACAGAGATTGTTCTTCTTGTTGAACACAGAATTAAGGGAAGGACACTCAAATTCAGCATTTGCCATTTTCTCCCTTATTTCTGCAGATCTGGTCATTGCAACATATCTCTGAACTATTATCTATTAATGCTGGTTTTAAAAGTGAGTCATTTAGCTGGGTGCGGTGCCACACGCCTGTAATTTCAGCAGCTCTGGAGGCTGAGGCAGGAGGATCATGAGTTGGAGGCCAGTCTCAGCAATTTAGTGAGGCCCTAAGCAACTCAGTGAGACCCTGTCTCTAAGTAAAATACAAAATAGGGCTGGGGATGTGGCTCAGTGGTCAAGTGCCTGCCTTGCACATGTGAGGCAACTGACTGGGTTCAATCCTCAGCACCACATAAAAACAAATAAATAAAGATATTGTGCCTATCTACAACTAGAAAAAATATTAAAATAAAATATAAAAAAGGGTTGGGGATGTGGCTCAGTGGTTAAGTGCCCCTGGGTTCAATCCCTGGTACCAAAAAAGGAAAAGGAAAAAAAAATCCCCCAAACCAAAAAACGTCCTCATGGAATGTTTCAGAAAGAGAACTGCAGTGACCTGAGCTGCCCGGAACAGATGGTTCCACTACTGACATTTTATGAGCACATTTTTAAAGGCAGACACGCCCCTCCTGCTTGTGAAAACCCGCATTTTCACTTCAAAATTAGTTTAATTGGACAACAGGTTACAACATTTGCTCTCAGATTTAAAGGAGAAAGCATGATTTGTGTTTGTTTCATGAAGTGTGAAGGAAGCAGCAGAAAGAGAATTGCAGCTCTCTTTCTAGAAAGGTTATGACAGATTTAAGCTTTGGTTCTGCTGACCCAAATTCATTTATTTATTTTTTTGTGGTCCTGGGGATTGGAACCCAGGGTCTTGAGCAGCCAGTCAGGCTCTACCACAGAGATACACCCCGGCCTAGGCCCTGACATTTTTTAACATTTTGGGGGGGAGGGAGGTAACTGGGGTTGAACCCAGGGGCACTCGACTACTGACCCACATCCCCAGCCCTATTTTGTATTTTATTTAGAGACAGGGCCTCACTGAGTTGCTTAGGGTCTCGCTTTTGCTGAGGCTGGCTTTGAACTCACGATCCTCCTGCCTCAGCCTCCCGAGCCACTGAGATTCTAGGTGTGTGCCTCTGTACATTTGTTCTTGAGGTTCTCAAATGGTCCCCTTTTATTCCAATATGGGAAGACAAAACTAAAAAGCACTCATTCACTTCCTGTTGGGGTGGGGGGAGTCGGAAGAAATCGGCTGTCCATTTTTGTAAAATGGGTTGTTTTTTCCTTTCTATCTAAAACCATGCTTTGTTTTAAATGCCAAGTTAAATCGCAGGATTTCACAGGAGTCCTATTTTTCAAAAGCAGATACCTAAAAATTAATTTCTAGCTGGCAAACCTAATCCCTTCCAGCAAGATCTTTTGCCACAAAGTCCACAAAGTCCCTCTATGATCAATGTGATCTCAAGGATGAGGAGGATGTGGCTTAGCGCACGGCGTTCCTGCATTCAGAAAAAAAGTGCAGTTGGTGAGCCACACTTTCAAAAGGGCAGAGGATGACCCTAAGAATCCGGACTTCATTGTGACAAAAGCCCCTGAGGTTGAGACCCGTGGAACGTGGAGGACGTGCTCACCCATTCAACAGGAAATGGGGCTGGACAAGTCCCAGAGACTCGCCAAGTCTCATCAGGGCTTCAGAGGACCCAGGGACTCAGTCATCGCTGCAACCCACGCAGGCACTCAGAGGACCCAGACCTGAGCTTTCTTACTTTATTGCTCCCTGGTTCCTTCCCCCAGCGAGCAGTGCCTGCCACAGAGGCTAACCCAGTCCATGATGACACTCTGTTTTTGTTTTGGAGGGGGTGACACTTTTTGGAAAGTACTGGTCACTGTCCTTTGCCCCTCCTTAAAGAAGCAAAAACCTCAAGCAAATTGCCAGAGTTTTCTTCAGCCACCGGCTGATCACAGACAATTCACAGAGGTCCTCCGGAGCCTGGACCCTCTTACCTCGTTGTCATGTGGCGGGAGCTGGTGCAGCAGCTGCTTGATTCGCAGTTTCTCTCCGGGGCTGTTGACATAGGGGACTTTCTCTTCTGGCAGGCAGCTGTAATATTGGTGCACCTGAAGGAGAAAAAAGAACACGTGTCCTCATTCACGTCCACTGCCCACTGCCCGGTAAGGGGACCAGGATTCCCCGCCCCCCACGTAGGGCGCAACCCAACTGGATGGCCCCCACCCAGCGGGACACAGCCCACAGCCTGCACTTCTTACTGCAAGCGGAAAAACACATCCTTAAAGAGAGAGCCAAGCAAATCGCCCCTCACTTGGGGCTTCCCCTCTCTGCAAGGGAAAAATAAAGCCAAGGAGCTTGGATAGCAAAGGAGAGATCAGTGATCACGCTGGGGAGGCCGCAGGGTAGGGCTTTCTCGCTGGAGTCCCCCGTGTCCCACTGGCTTTACCATTTTTCTGAGCGTCTCTGGCGTGTGGGGTGCCTCCCTAGCCAAGGGATATGTCTGCGCCTGCCTGGGTGCTGCAGTCCAAGCCTGTCTCTGGCACGGGGTGAACTCCTGGGTACCTCAGCCTCCACCTATGTGAAAAGCCTTCCAGGTCTGGAGCCACTTGTGAGGCGGGCTGTAGCTGCCAGCCATCAGAAAGAGGCTCACCAAACTTGGGGCGCACAGCGCGTGACTTTGCATCGCCAGGAGTGTGAAGATTTTTGCATATCTTACAGTGCTCCTGTTTATGACCCGTAGGGTCTATTCCTGCACTTTCTGAAGCTCCTTCAATCTGATGTATGCGGAAAGCACCAAGAACCTCATTTTGCCGAGAAAAGAAAACAGAAGTTGGGAATCAGGCGTGGTGGCGCAAGCCTATAATCCCAGCGGCTTGGGAGGCTGAGGCAGGAGGACTGGGAGTTCAAAGCCAGCCTCAGCAAAAGCAAGGCCCTAAGCAACTCATGATACCCTGTCTCTAAATAAAATATATAAATGGGTTGGGGATGTGGCTCAGTGGTCGAGTGCTCCTGAATCTAATCCCCGGAACCAAAAAAAAAAAGAAGTTGGTATGTTGGTATAATCTGTAATTCCAGTGACTCAGGAGGCTGAGGCAGGAGGATGGCCTGTTCAAAGCCAGCCTCAGCACCTTAGTGATACTCTAAGCAACTTACAAAACCCTGCCTTTAAATAAAATATAAAAAGGGCTGGTGTATGGCTTGGTGGTTAAGTGCCCTGGTTCAATCCTTGGTACGGGGGGAAAAAAAGACATTCTACCATCCAGCCATGTGTATAACAAGGGAGAGAAAAGACAAGATATGCTGTCATAGAGGAGGAGCAGAAAAAAATCCTACAGGTTCACATCATGTCATGGAAAATGCTCCCCAGTGTCTCTGAGCATCATGAGCAGCCCTCACTGAACAAGCTCATTCAAGAAAACGAAAGGACAGAGCCCAAGGCTCCAACTCCCTCCTCGGGTCCCCTCCACACACTGGTCTAATCCCTTGTGTCTGGGGAGTCTTGGATGTGAACACATGGGTTGGGCTTGCTGGGGTGAAGAGCAGCGAAGTCTCCTCCACCTTGATCTCTAGAAGCCAAGCCATGAGCTTTAGCAGGGGAGAGGCTTGCGCTGGTGAGTTAGAAACATGTGGAAAGCCGTCTTTAGTTCCTTAACCAGTGATCAGAACCATCCTCCATCAGGTGCCCATCCGTGTCCAAATCCAACCCCCAAAGCAACCATAGGCAGAGCTCTGACCCAGCCCAGCTGGCTTCTGGGAGGCAGTGGACCTCTGCAGGATGATTTCCACCTGCATCAGCCTCCGGCAGCAGTCCCACGGGCTCCTTCAAGGTGCAGACCCAGAAGGACTCCCCGAGATGGCGATGCTGTGCGGGAACTGGGGGCTGTGGAGAGGAGGGTTGGGCAGCTCCCATGGTCATGCACCCAGCAATAGAGAGGCACCTGGCAGGGAGACTGGCAGGTTCTGGGTTTTGAAGGAGCCAGCAGCCCTGAGAAGGAACAGTCCCATCCTAAATGAGTGTGGTGGCGGTGGTGGCTCATGGGAGACTGGCACACGATTAGGGACTTCTTCAGGAGAGTCCTGTAGCACGTGGCTCATGGACAAGGGCCAGGTTTAAGGAGACACGCCTAGGGGTGTATCTTGCATGAAATGTATTGCCAGGTGCATGGCCACCAGAGCCTGCCCAACCTCCTCTCCAGGGCCCCCAGGTACTGCACAACATCACCATCCCGGGGAGCCCCTCCTGATCAGCACCTGGAAGGATCCCTCTGGCCTACTGTGTGAGGCTGACGCAGGCGGGAATCTTCTCTGCATCTTATACCACAAGGCAGTAGACCTGGACCTCCAGCCACCGACTATCATTTCCCATCTCTAGGTTCCCAAGCAAGTCACATAACTGCTCACAACAGGCACCCCAAATATCATGACGGTTAAATAAGAGTGGAGGTGAAGCATGTGGCCCTCAAGTTCAACAGATAGCACGAACACAAAACCAAATTTAGAGTATGGCCTTGCTGCGGGACTGCAAATTGGTGCAACCACTCTGGAAAGCAGTGTGGAGATTCCTCAAAACACATGGAGTGGAACTACCATTTGACCCAGACATCCCACTCCTTGGCATATATCTAAAGGACTTAAAATCAGCATCAGTAATATAGCTACATCAATGGTTACAGCAGCTTAATTCACAATAGCTAAGCTATGGGACCAACCTAGGTGCCCTTCAACAAATGAATGGATAAAGAAAATGTGGTATATATACACTATGGAATATTACTCAGCCTTAAAGAAGATTGAAATGATGGCATTTGCTGGTAAATGGATGGAACTGGAGACTATCATGCTAAATGAAATAAGCCAGTCCCAAAAAACCAGAGGCCAAATGTTCTTTCTGATATGCAAATTCTAAGACACAATCTGGGTAGGGGAGGTAATAAGAGAAGTCTACTGGGTTAGACAAAGGGGAATGAAGGGAAGGGAGGGGGATGGGAATAGGAAAGACAGTGGAGTGAATGGGACAGAACTTTCCACACGTTCATATATGCATGAACACACGACCAGGGAAACTCCACATCAAGTCCAACCACAAGAATGGGAAGTTAGACGCCATGTATGTATAATATATTGAAATACATTCTACTGCCCTGTATAACTAAAAAGAACAAATAAAAATTCTTTGAAAAATTAGAATATGGAATGGAACGATCCAGATACTTCCTGGCTTTTCTTCCGTATTCAGATACGACGCCAAACTGGTGGCGCAGAGGGTGATACCGAGCCCTGGAGCCACCTACCTTAGCCTAAGCAAGAAACACAGGTTGTAAGGAATGTCATGACAGAAAACTAGCCTGATGTCCCAGGGGGAAAGTCACATGGTGATAAAGGCGTGGTGCTCTCCCAAGAGACCCGGCAGCCAGTAGGGCAACAGGAGGAATCAGAAGCTGTCGCTGGAGGGTGCCTGGGGCTGGATTTCCGCCTTTGGGATCCCAGCGTCCTCTCCTCCTCCCTGCACAGATCTGTGGTGGCTTTCCCAAAGCGTCTCTTCGCCCTCAGCAGCTGAGTCGGCAGGGCTTCAGCTCAGGAATCTGTCCCAGACCTAGGAGCTTCTCCCAGTTCCCCAGAGACGGCCCTGACGACCTTGCTCTGGGTTGACGTCGGGAGGTGGGATCAGAGAAGTTCCAGGTGGTGAAGACGGAGGTGGGACCCCAACTTGGTGTGACCAGCTGAGGTGGAGCTGTGTGCTGCAGATCTCTGGGGTGGCAAGGTCCCTCCTGAGGACTGTGTTCTGAAGTCACCAAAGGCTTGGCGTGACTCTGTAGAGCCTAGACACGTCCTTTATAACTCCAGCCTTCAGTCCACCGGTGACATTTCTTCTTTCTACCAGTACTCCAACAATGTGTGTGGAGTGCATAAAAATATGTTTTCCCAAGACAATCAACAATTCGATGGATGACTTGAAGGCCCATTACTGATCAGGGTGCCCCATTATGGAAACATTTGTAAGTCTATGTTAAATAGCAGCCTCCCAAAGCGTCCCCTACCACAGGGCAGGTGATCTGGCAGGCTCTGCCGAAAAGGAGTGAGTCCCTTGTGACCTTCAATCCTCTTCAAAGCCTGTTCAGGTTCACAGGGATCCTGCTCATGTTGACTTTTATCTCCTCCTTTTTTTTGGTACTGGGGATTGAACCCAGGAGTGCTTCACCACTGAGCCCCATCCCCAGCCCTTTTTTATATTTTATTTAGAGACAGGGTCTCACTGAGTTGCTTAGGGCCTCACTAAGTTGCTGAGGCTGGCTTTGGACTTGCGATCCTCCTGCCTCAGCCTCCCAAGCTGCTGGGATCACAGCTGTGCACCACCATGCCTGGCTTCTTGCAGTGTTTTGACCCTGGACTCTCCCAGTTTTTCATCCAGCCGAGGGGACTCGCGGGTGGAGGGCAGGGGGAGAGAAACAGCTCCCCTGAATACCCAGCCTAGCTACGGGGATGCTGCCCGCACTCTCCTCCGCCACGGTCCATAATGAAAGAGCCGTATGGCTCAAAAACAAACACCATCTAAGCCAATGCAATGAGAAAACACTGAGTCTACTTTTTGGCACCACAAAGATTAAATTTGGCATTGCCCCTGAGACACCAGCAGATAGCTCGTGTTGGCCCCAACACGCCGCATTCTTAGGAGTGAATAAGCAATCCCAACAGAGCTCACTCAAGGAGGATCATTCCCAAGATAGGACCTGGTACGCTGAGAACTTAGGTGTCTTCAAACACAGGCCTCTGGAATGTGCCAGAAGCTTTGCTCCCCGTCGACATTCTTGGGTAAAGGTGTCCTGGGATTCTGCCTTGGGTGAAGTCATAGGAGGCTCGTTTTCTCCCCCAACAAAAGCCTTTTGGACACAGTACACCATCTTATGAAAACAAAATAGCTGAAGGCCTTTATTTAAGGTGTTGCTCCCCAACAGGAGGGTTGGCAGCAACTCCAGTCTGTCAGACGGGTTCTAAGAACTTTAGTCAGCATGCAGATAACTCCACAAAGCTAGCCTCGCCCAGTGGGAAAGACTGGGCTTGTTAGAAGGAACTGCACATTTGACAGCATCTCTGTCTGAGCGAAGAGGTG